TCATAACCCCTATTAAGCGGACACCCCTCTCTAACGGACGCGGACACCTTACTTGAGGACCCAATGGGCAAACCAATCTCTCTTAAGCGGACAGATGACAGATTGTCTGATAAAATGTATTCAATATTCGACAGTAAATAACAATTGAGATTAATTTACATGGCACATTGACAGTGACACACCAAATTGGAGAATTCGCATTTTTTCGAGGTTTGGAAGAACTTTCCAACGCCATTTTTATGTAAATGACATCGTCTGCGTGAGCCTCGGCAGCAAATTTGTATTGATTCCTTTTTATATGACTGTGAGAGACGTATACATTTTCTAATAAACTTTTATGCACAAAGAAATTTTCATTTTATGCTAGTTATTTGCTAGATATTTTTACAGTTTTGATACTCTAATTACACACCTAATTACACACCTTTGCCTCCTGCTGTGTTTTTCTACATACCCCTTTTAAACGGATACCCCTTCTAAGCGGACACTTAGGCGAGGTCCCGAAGGTGTCTTTAATAGGGGTTCGACTGTCATATATATATATATATATATATATATATATATATATATATATATATATATATATATATATATATATATATATATATATATATATATATATATATATATATATATATATATATATATACACATATATATATATATATATATATATATATATATATATATATATATATATATATATATATATATATATATATATATATATATATATACACTGGATCCAGAAAAGTTTGACCTTCGAATATATATATATGTCGGCCATTTTGAATTTTCTTGGGTTAATTATACGCGAACGCATACATCAAATGTCGCTCGCAACGCATTGTATATTGCAATATTATTCCAACAGCTCAAATGAATAAATGAATCATTGATTGATGTCTTTGCACATAATCATAATGGCTAGTAGGAAATGAACATTTGGAAACGAACATAATGGCTAGTAGGAAATGAACGTTTCTGCTTCGGCAGGTCACGAATGCTGCGTGTGCTGAGTTTCAGGGGATGAAATATCGAATGACTATCGATTCCGTTAAAATTTCCGTTGGCAAAATATAATAGAGAGTTCGGCAAATACAAGGGCAACCGCAACGGTTGCACATTTTCACGGTGCATGACTACGGCAACAATTCATTCGTTCGATGTTATTTGAGAGTTTCATTGAATTCGCGGACTATTTTTATTTAAGGGTACGTTTGAAAGAAACAGGAATACTTAATGAGGCAAATTAAGTGTAGTAACGTATACTTTGGCTCAAATACAACAATATAAGCAATTATATTTTCCCCGTTGCAGTTGTCGTTGCCGTTCTAGGTTGCCAAACTCTTTAATATAATAATTCTGGACGTAGGTTACAGCTATAAAATAAGCACAAGTGAATACGAAAGAATAAACAAAGAAATTCATCGAGGCATGCTAATAAGCGTCTAAATCTCTAAGGATGCAAAAGAATAAATTACGACATGCCAAAAAGATCAGGTTCCAAATTGTGACAAGAGTTAATTAGCTAACAACCCTCAAATGTTCATTAGATAGCTACTACAAATATGTGTAAGAACTTCAAGCAATGATCCTCTACTTATTTGAGCTGTTGGAATATTGCAATATACAGTACGTTGCGAGCGACATTTGATGTATGCGTTCGCGTATAATTAACCCAAGAAAATTCAAAATGGCCGACATATATATATATTCGAAGGTCAAACTTTTCTGGATGCAGTGTATATATATATATATATATATATATATATATATATATATATATATATATATATATATATATATATATATATATATATATATATATATATACATATACATATACATATACATATACATATACATATACATATACATATACATATACATATACATATACATATACATATACATATACATATACATATACATATATGTATATACATATATGTATATGTATATAGGTGTATTGATCTTCTTACGAGTATGAGCCAGGCAAGCAAATCAAAGAAGATCGTATATATATACAGTACCGTAGCGACAAGATGTTTTTCACGAGCTGCCTCCTCAAATTAGATTGTCTTGTGTATAGTTACTTTTATCCTTTTCCTTTCAGATTCAATACATGTGACATGAGCCGGGCTGTTTTTCTGTCCATCATGCGCCTGTTCATTCTTGATCAAACCTGGTTCTCTGGTGCCATCAGCCAACCTCATTCAGATACGTTAAATGAATTTTATTCCACAATTGAAACCGCTACAGAAGAAATCATAAAGAATGAACACCCCACCAAAGGACAGGCCTTTCCCACTGGAAGAACACTTGTCAAAAAAGAAATTGCGCGAATTGCATTTCACCCGTTATATCGTGTGTCATCGAACGGATTGACGTCAAGCGATATTTCGCGCATCATAGCATTTTTGTCCACGCCTGATTACGAAGTGAGTCTTGTGGCGCTGGAATTTTTACACAGAATATTTCTAAGCCACGAAGATGGTCCAGTGGCGGAAGAACATGTTGATGCAATTGTGAAAGAGCTGCTAAAACTGATGTTGGATTCAAAAATCAAGGGAGAATGTTTAGCAATGGTGAGTCAAGGATGGTAAATTATCCAGTGTGGTTTGCATGTTTGGCCGGGGCAGGATTAGAAGTTCCTTTTTATGTTGCCAGATTGGAGAAAACAGTTAGATATGTCAGACAAAGCAGCCTATTTTTGAGATTTTGGTTACAGTATAAACTAGTTATTCAGTTTTCTATATACAATAAAGGATAAAAAATAATTTAGTGCAAAGCTCAAATTTCAAGTTAAATATGATGACATACCATAAACTTTATTTTTTTCATTGTAGCTGTACAAATGTCTTTCTCTTGTGCCCCAGTTACTGAGGTTTCCATGGCGGTTGGATGGTCAGCGATTAGTGCAATTTAATGAGGTAGTACTAACAGAATTGCAGACATTTTCTACAATCCAGGTTTAAGATATTTCCATTCGTTTAATGTGCATGCATGACACTTATGCATGCATACATTAAATTATGTAGCTATAGTTTTTATCATGGTAGTTCTCTTTTCAACATTGAAAGAGACAGTTGTTCAATATGATCCACTATAATTGACGCCCCAGTTGTGCAAAATAAAGACTAGACGGTGGCTGACTGACTTTATGAATTAAAATCTACTGCTACTAATTTGACAATAACTAAGTGTGATTATTCCACCAATTACCATTTTTTATGTTGGGATTATAGGATATCAAAAGTGAAGTATATATGTTTATTATATGGCAAGCATCATGCACTTTCGGTGAAATGGCGGACTGTGATCGACTGAGAAGCACTTTCGGTGGTCCATATTTCCCCACAATAGACCGGCGGTCCATTACGTAAATACAAACGCATGCGTGCATTTTAAAATAAAACAGCAAAACTAATTGAATATTTGAACATAAGATATCTGCGAATGGTTTGTGTTGGAAAAGAAGGAATACATTGGTATTGTTTGTTTTCTTCGACCAAATGTGTACCACGCTACAAATAATAAACTTTTTATCAACCTCGCTTGCTCGGTATGTACAGAGAAATACCTCGGTCCGATATTTCTCTGTACAGACCTCGCGTTCAGTTAATTAATAAGAAGTTAATAATGAGTGATATCTTCAGTGTACCTGTACAAGTATCAACCGAATTGTTGCCAGTACAGTACAGACTGAATATATACAAACTTAAGTCAACTTGTTAATTATGCTGTTAATATAACAATAGAGTTTATTTTCGCGGGCATGATTATCTTTTTGGCCCAATGAGTTCTGAGGAGGGCCAAAAACATATTTTATGCCCAAGAACATCGACTGTATTGATATCAATGCAATTCAAACAATAGATAATGAAGCTTAATGAGGTTTATCATGCATCTCATTATCTATCATCTCAAATGCAATTTCTCTATTTTTTAAGGGTTGGAGACATATTGCGCATTTTTTCAACACAATCAATCAACAGTAAGTAATTTTAATGAATTATATAGCTCAACAAACGCTGATACCCTTATATACATAGTGTTTTTAGTGCAAAGTTTCCATGAGAACTATATCTATATGTATCTACTTGGATGCTGGGACGGCTTTTAATCAAAATAGAGGTGTCAATTAATGTCAATGAGAAGGAAAACAAATGGTTTGCAGTGTTTTGAGTTAAGGGTTGGTGAACAAATTATCACTGGAAGATAAAAGCTGGTTGCTGTATGGAAACATTATTATGAGGAACTTTATACTCCCTTAGATCATCCTTCTTTTGACAACGACTTAATGGCGTTCGTAGAAAACCAAATCAACGCATACCAAACCGAAAGTCATAATTTTGATGATCCACTGGATGGACCCTTTACTGTCGACGTCAGTAAAGTGTGTAAAGATCTTCCAAACGGTAAAGCTGGAGGCGAAGATGATTTAATATACGAAAATGTAAAACATGCAGACGACGCATTCTTCACCCATCTTACTAGGATATTCAACGCCATGCGTCAAATTGAACATATACCATCATCATGTTTGTGGTGTTACACTGAGTGTGCAGCTACACCGGGCAAGCTGAAAAGTTTGCCTGACCATGACGGTGGAAATCGAACCCGCGACCTTTGGGATACTAGTCCAATGCTCTACCAACTGAGCTAGGGTCAAGTCAATAGATACTACGAACTGATACACACAAGATTGGAGCCCTTGAGTTTATGGTTGGAAGCAAAAAAACACCCGTTAATTACCAGAGAAATCTTGAACACAATTAACATTGTATGTTGGAATGTACCCTCTGGAATGATTTTACTTAATGCTGTATTGGACGGCGACGTGTTTTTTTAATGCAAATTATGGAAACGGTATTGCCTAGACATCTGTAAGCATCTTCTGACAGCACTTACGTTCGCCATTGCGCACCTTTCTTCAATCAAGATGATGAAGGAATTTGTCTGTCATTTATAAGTGGTGATATTCCATCCTTTAGCGGCTGTGATGATGCCATTCGAGACGACTTCGACAAATGGTGGCTAATGGATTCTTGATATACTTGAAGTCAGTACTTTGAACAGTGAAATTTATTTGACAATTTTAAGATATTTGACATATTTCTTATAGATAGACTTATTAAAAATATATATGTGAACGATCTTCCTCATTCTATTTCGGATCGATCTGCCGTGGCAATGTTTGCTAACGACTGCACAAGTATTACCGCGTTCAGGGAAGGAGATATCCAACTGAAGATGTGCGGAATGATTTGAACAATGTCGCAAGGTGGTGCTATGATTGGAAGATGGACCTAAACCAAACAAAATGGGGAGTTATGACAATTACAAGAAGTCGCCAACCAATCCCTGCAGAATAGCAACTCCTTAATTAATGGTTCTCTGAAACAAATTAATTGCCAAAAAGTTCTTCGGATCATTGTTGCTAAGGACCTCAAATGATTGGTTTAATTCCACGAGCAGCCTCTAACACCCGAAATGTCCACGTCCGTACGATCTGCTCCTTTCCTTAGTTCGGAGCAAGTGTATGCCAGCTAGGTGTGGGTACCAAATAGTAAATAAAATACTAACAACTCGAACGAGTCAACGTCACGTGACGTGACGAAATTCATCCTTTCCCTTCCTTACAGAACAGATATATCATACAAGAAGCGACTGCAGTCTCTTAGCATTCTACCAATTAATTATCTGCTACTGGCAGGAACACCCAGATCTAGTATAATGACGTTGATATCTCAATACGAGTTTCTACACGAGAAATGTTGATCCTGATAATGTTATTTTACTAACTCAATCAAAATGCAGGACTGTTAGTTTCTATGTGAGAGCTCCTAGCCTTTGGAACGTACATTCTTCCTGCGTGGTACTTCAAAATCTTTAGTTTCTTCAAATCCACATTATTTAACTACTACTTCGACCTTGTGGAACATATTTACAACCCAAAAACATTCAAGTCAGTGCACGAAATGCTACTCCACTCGTCTTCTCGCTAATTTATCTGTAAGAACATGTTGTTGACAGTAAGCCAAAGCCAATAGTAATGTAAATGTATTGTTGTACCCCGTTATTAGAGATTATCTCTGTGGTCAGTCCCTGCCTGTACTGCATGTATGTAAATTATATAGTATTGTGTAATGGTTTAGTGGTATTTATGTTTGTGTGTGGCAAATCTTGTAAGTAGATTAGAAGGAAGAAGGTGCACGCGAAATGGTGCTTCACACAGTATTGCGATTTTGGGGCGGAAATGCTTGTAGCAGAATCTATGAACTCACAGGTTTTACATCCGATTAGAAGAAATGACACACCCGATTAGAAGAAATGGAATTTCAAAACATGAAAATTGTTCCTAATAATATCTTTAACCTTGATATTGAATGGATTATATGTTAATACCAGGAGAATTTTGGTGTTACCTGTGACATTGGACACAGGGTCTGTAAGGATCTCATGCAGGGGAATTTGGGAGGCCTTTGATATACTTTTACATGTATTTCTAATATTGCTTCATCTTTAATTTTACTTTATAGTGGCCGAAATTGATGAATTCAGTTGAAGTTCCTTGTGCCTGTACTAGAATCGATTTCCGCTAATTGATGAATCAATTTTTGTATTATAGACCGGATGTTATGTGTTCACTTCTACATTTCTCAAGCGTGCTCGTCAATGAGATACATGAAGAGGTAAGGAATAATATATTAAGAATTAGGATATTATGTAAAAAGTCAGCTCAAGATTTTGTTGTTTTAATTTCAACATGACACTTTTTCTTCTATTTATTAATCTAAAATGATTTCCGTGATTCAATTTCAATAACAGTATTGTATTTGTACAAAACAGCGGTCAGCAATATACAAGAATCAGTAGACCATACCAACAACTGGTCTACTTTCAATAATCTTCACCTTAACCTTGACAAATGTAAAGAACATCAGATCTCTTTTAGTAAACAAAGTAGCCATTAATTTCCAACCATTATCAATCGGAGAACATCGTCTCGAACATATTACAGAATACAAATTGCTTGGCATGATTATCAGTGATGACCTAAAGTGGAATAAACATATAGATAACAGTCAGCAGAGCTTCCAAAAGAATTTATTTTCTTGTTCAACTAAAAAGAACAAAAGTCGAAGTTAATAATCTCGTTAAATTTTTTAAAACCTGCATCAGATCCCTCCTGGAGTATTGCTGTGCAGTTTTCCACGATAGCCTTCCTGACTATCTCCACCTGCGCCTGGAAAGGGTACAAATTAGCTGTGTGTCCATTATTTATCCCGAAACCGCCTCTCTAGAAAATGCCAGTCTATCCAGCCTGAAACAACGGCGAGAAAAGCTTGTAGCCAAATTATTCACCAACATTATAAAAGACCAAGATCACCAAATTAATTGCCTGTTGCCGAACAAAAAGCGATCCTGCTACAACTTTCGAAAGAAAAATACATTTACTTTACCTAAATGTCGAACTGATCGCTATAAAAACACTTTTATCCCTGCCAACATTTTTAAGCTTAGCAATTAATCGTATTCTAATTTACACTGAAATTTTTAACTTTTTTAAATTTGTAAACAATACATGCAGTTGAGTAATGTTTTATATATTTAGCTATATAATTATTGTAAAATTGTGTAATTCAACCTGCTGGTTGCAAGGCAATTCTATTAAAATGATCTATCTATCTAGCTATCTAACCTCTTCACGACGACATGTCACAAAACCACAGGCAATCGAAGTGGTCACATACTCACTTTTCCATTGCAGATATTACTCTCCAGTGATTATAAATCAATATTTTGTATGCATTTGGTTGATTCTAGATTGTTTTATTTAAGCATGGTAACCCCCAGTTTGTGACATCGTTTACATGTTCATATGTGAATAAACTTTGCTTTGAAGGGTTGGGATTAGTCCAAGATATTTGCAACCACCACATTTTTTGAGAATAGTAATTTAATCAGTTTAAGCTTACACTATGAGAGAAAAACAAAAAGTCATCTATTTTTATTTCTTCATAGGCCTTAAATGAAGATATTGGCGAAATGATAGAGGATTGGGTTTCGTTTATTGAGACGTGTGCTCAGTGTGAAGAAAATGAAATTATCAGACTAACGTTGTCACAAGTCATTGGCTCTGGAAATGTCACTTTTGTTTTAGCTGAGCCTCTTCATGCATTTGGTGAGATTTGTTGCCTCCGTTATACGTTGTTAAAATATTTGGTTATTATTCAATATAAAATATATTACAAAGGCCCATTTTTTTAATGTTATGTGTTTAATTTTTCCACATGTCGCCAGTCTGGCTTTCTTTTCTGCATGTTTCTTGGAATTGGCGATCGAACATTTGACAATTATATAAATAAAACAAGATGCTCTATTGTACATCCAGTCACTGGTTTTATTAAAATAGCGGCCTGTTCTATGATAGTAGAAGCCTGCCCAAATTTGACAATATAGGCCTATATGGGTGCATGCAAGTAAGTCTAAAAGTATGTAATTCGTTGACTGATTTTAATTTTTGATTTAGGGGCACTTCTTTAGGAGCAAATATAGAACGGCTCACCTTCCAGACCTATTTAATTGCTATAGTGTGTCGTTCGATCATCTAGATAATTTTAACATATTTAAAAAAAAACGCCTTGCCGAACCAACATTAAGGGTTTGAAACAATGCAACATGGTGACCAGTTTCTGGTCCAGTAGTACGATCGTAGCTATACTTGTTTAAATCAGACACCTTCAGTCGATGAGTATGGTGGCCCATCATTGTCGCTGCTAAAATCATTTTGTCAATATTTTGTGGTAGAATTGTTTTGTTCGATATAATAAACACTTATTGGATTCATCTTCACCCAGTATGGCAAAATATTACGTCTCAACTTCAATATTTTAGGCTTGACCCTCGGTCTCGCCCAATATTGCAGTCTCGACTTAATATTTTGCCATATTGAGCTCTGTAGAATCCAATAAGATATAATATCCTGCTAGTAGAGGGCCAATCAAATTGCAGAATAGCTTATACCTGGTATTTGTCTATATTATAATGCTCAGCTCATGATCAGCCTCGTTCAATAATTATTTAATGAATGCCTCATAATAAATGTTGTTTGTTTTTGTATCTTTGTATTAGAAAACCTGACATTTCGGCTTTGGAAAATTATTATCAATTTGTTAATCGATGATTCTGTGGAGGTCAAGATTTCCATGGCAAGTGGTTTGCCAAACGTATTACAGTCAGTTGCGCAAGGTAAATGTGTACCCATGCATGCAAGCAATTCCCAGTAACAACTGCAAAGGGGGCAATAAATATAATGCGTTTACATGTTCTCTCCAACCCAATTTTTCAACATTTGAGAACACTGTGTCCATTTATATTTGGTATTCCACTTCAGTTCGCACGTATTTGTGGAGATTCTATATAAGAGCTTCACAACAAATACATGGAGTTTGCATGTGCTGAAATGTGAAGTTAAGGCGTTTGTGTATTTAACCCTTCGTGCAGTACGAGACATTTAGTGCGTCATTGAAGTGCAAAACTATAGCTGCTGCCGTTCACTGCAACTTCTTAACTAACAGCAATTCTGTAATCTTAACGGATTAAGGCTTCACAGATATATGTCTATAACCTCGCAAGCCATGCAGGCTATTTCCTTCCATCCGAAAACACAGCGGAGGTAAAGATTCTGGCTTTGTGGTACGTGTCGTGATGAAATTGTAGTATATTATACAAATAATGAAGGTTTATGAGTGCAATGGTAAGAATATTTTCATGAGGTGAAAGATGGAATGTCCCATTCAACGAGGCGACAGCCGAGTTGAATGGAACATTCCATCTTTCACCGAATGAAAATATTCTTACCATTGCACGAATAAAAACATTCATTATTTGTTTTATATAATACCAAAATAGACTAATATTAAAAGGTTTACTGTAAGCTTTCGCCATTTTGACGAGTCGTATTTGCATTAAATCCCATTTACTGAGTTTCGAATATCGGGCTAAAATAAACTGCGATAACCGTACGAGAAGCATTTTGACGGATGCGATTTATCGAAAACACAAAGAGTGCAATGGAACAAAACGTATAGTGCAATGGAACAAAACGTATAGTACAATTGCACTCGCAAGAGTGCAATGGAACGCATTCCATTGCACTCTTGGGAAATGGAATTTTCTATTCAATATCACGTGACCATAAACAGCCAATTAAACGATCAGAATTCAATAAGGTATTATATATATATATATATATATATATATATATATATATATATATATATATATATATATATATATATATATATATATATATATATATATATTAAGATGAAAATGTTCTAGAGTGTGTATTATATAATTTCCATACACATCGCAAGCTGAAAGATGTTGTCTGCCGCGGCTGGGTCTTGAATTACTAGATCGACGCTCTACCAACTGAGCTACACGGTCAGACGGATTTAAGACAGGAAATTATGATATATATATATATATATATATATATATATATATATATATATATATATATATATATATATATATATATATATATATATATATATATATATATATATATATATATATACAGTATATATATACGACAATGACCAAAACTTGCCTTAGCCAACAGCACATAATATTACGACAAAGAGATGGCTACGTATCGAAGAATTTATTAAAGATGACTAAAGTAAAGTATACAAATAAATTTTCGGCCACTTGACACGGCCTTCCTCAGAATAAAAACTAAGTTACAGCACATGGCATTTATACTATTTAGCATGCTAAGTAATTAACCTAATCCTATTGTTGTACAAAATCATGCGTAGAGTTAAGTCCTCTTCGATTAGTCAATAGCATACCAATCCAAAAATTTTCACATGCCCTTAGGTTGCCCTGGCGCCGATCAATTAGCATGAATTTCAACAATGAATAATCAGCACCATGACAATCCAGAAAATGGTTAACAATACCACAGGTTCTCTTATTACGTTTGATGTGAGACTTGTAATTAGCGAGTCGGGTCTTAAAATTGATAGTAGAACCCACTCCTTGCAAATTGCAAGTAACACAACTAGCAAGATAAACAACATTATCGGAGGTGCAAGTAAGATCTTTACCAATCTGAAATACTCTTTTAGAAACTGTGGAACTAAAGGTGGAACCTTCTTCTAAAACGTTTTTACAACAGTCACATCGCTTGGCTTTACACCTAAAACAGCCTGTAGTTTCCCTATACGACCGGCCAACAATTCTTTTAAGTTGGCATTACGTTTATATGCCACACAAATGGCTCCCTCTGGTAAAACCTCAATGGCCTTTTCATCGTTACAAATAATTTCTCTATGATGTTTATTTAAGATCTTACGGATATCTGGTCCTCTGGGATTGTATTTGGTCGAAAAAATACATAAATTCCTATTATCTTTTTTCTTCTTTTTCCTGGCTTCATGCCTACTAATAGCTGCAACCTCCTCAAATATATTTTTAACATGCTGTTTATCATGCCCACTGGCTATCAAATAATTAGCATACTCATTACATTTGTTATGAAAATCATCCTCATCCGAACATATTCTCCGTATTCTTAACGCTACTCCTTTTGCTATCCCCATTATCTGGGACTTTGGATGACACGATTTGGCATTTAAATATACATGGGCATCTGTGGGCTTACTATACACCGATGTAACTAAACAATTACCCTGATTGGTAATAGATAAATCTAAAAAATTCAAAGACTTTCCACCGATGTCCATTGTAAATTGTAAGTTTTGATCAAAAGAATTGAGGGCAGTAAAAAGGTATTAAGCCTTTGTACTGTACCTCTCCAAAGCACAAATGTGTCATCTCTAAAACGAAACCAAACCCGCAATTCTGGAAAATTTATTTTAGATTCTATAACTCTTAAATCAACACATTCAGCGACAATATCTGCATATGAGCAAGAATTCTTCGGACCCATTGCAGTGCCATCTGTTTGTAGCCAATATTGTCCCTGATATGTGGAACAATTCTTATAGAGGCAGATCTCCAAGGCCTCAATTATACATTCCACAGGCACATCAAATTTTTCCGAAAATTGTGTAAGCTTTTTACGCACCCGTTCCACTCCGGTTTTATTATTAATAGATGGAAACATATTCACGATGTCAAAACTTACTAATAAATCACTTTCTAATATGCCGGTGTCATTAAGCTCATCCACTATTTGAAGCATATGTACCGTATCCTTAACCCTACACTCAATAGAATCAACAACCACTTTACAGTATGTTTCCACAAAGAGAGACAAATTCTCGGTGGGAGTCCCACAACCTGAGGTAATCACTCTGAAATAGAGAAATTATTTGTAACGATGAAAAGGCCATTGAGGTTTTACCAGAGGGAGCCATTTGTGTGGCATATAAACGTAATGCCAACTTAAAAGAATTGTTGGCCCCCTCTAATCCATTTAAAATTAAAAGCCGGTCGTATAGGGAAACTACAGGCTGTTTTAGGTGTAAAGCTAAGCGATGTGACTGTTGTAAAAACTTTTTAGAAGAAGGTTCCACCTTTAGTTCCACAGTTTCTAAAAGAGTATTTCAGATTGGTAAAGATATTACTTGCACCTCCGATAATGTTGTTTATCTTGCTAGTTGTGTTGCTTGCAATTTGCAAGGAGTGGGTTCTACTATCAATTTTAAGACCCGACTCGCTAATTACAAGTCTCACATCAAACGTAATAAGAGAACCTGTGGTATTGTTAACCATTTTCTGGATTGTCATGGTGCTGATTATTCATTGTTGAAATTCATGCTAATTGATCGGCGCCAGGGCAACCTAAGAGAATGTGAAAATTTTTGGATTGGTATGCTATTGACTAATCAAAGAGGACTTAACTCTACGCATGATTTTGTACAACAATAGGATTAGGTTAATTACTTAGCATGCTAAATAGTATAAATCCATGTGCTGTAACTTAGTTTTTATTCTTAGGAAGGCCGTGTCAAGTGGCCGAAAATATTATTTGTATATTTTACTTTAGCCATCTTCAATAAATTGTTCGATACGTAGCCATCTCTTTGTCGTAATATTATGTGCTGTTGGCTAAGGCAAGTTTTGGTCATTGTCGTATATATATATATATATATATATATATATATATATATATATATATATATATATATATATATATATATATATATATATATATATATATATATATATTTATATAAATATAATGTATATATATGAATGTGGTTTGGTTCACGAAATGCCAAAGAGTGCTCGATATCATATAGAGAAGGAATCGTCTTACCTCAAAAGGTTGCCACAACAATCTGTTTCATCCAAGAGGAATCATCAGGTGACTTGAAGAATCATGTGACTTGAGGAATCATTGTTTCATGTATATAGTATATATAACCCTGGCAACAACATATCGCGACATTTAAATTCACCTGATGAGTGTGACAAGCATTGCTTGTCATACGAAACAAGTTTGTAGTGAGTAAAATCTTATGAAGTAATTCAAGTAAACCAGGTTTATTTTATTTTATCTTGTTTGCGTTCTTGTATACGTCGGGAGCGTCTGATTAATTGGTTGTTCGTCTGATTAATTGTAATGTAGTATTTAAAACACGAGAAGGAGTGTTTTATCATATTTAAAACACGAGGCGCAGCCGAGCGTTTTAAATATGATAAAACGCAAGTTCGAGTGTTTTGAATAGCTTAAAATATGACTACACTGAGAATACTAATTGAATGAACAATTATATAATCATACTAATTAGGATGAACAATTATATATATAAAGAATACTAAGGAAGACGAGGTTTATCAGATATAAAGTCACTCCACGTGACATATTATGGTTGACATGATTTGCCACATGGTTTATGAATTTCTAATGAGTATTTATTGCTGACGCAGCGAGAGAGCCTGAAGCGAGCGAGCAAGTCAGCAGTTCTAATTCGTATTGGGCTCTGAAAGTAAGATTTTACTTCCGTTTCTCCGACCAGAATGCACTGCTGTTAACCGACCAGAATGCATCGCTGTTAACCGACCAGAATGCTTTGCATGCATGATGCTATATAAATGCAGTTGTTTTGGTGTATTTTGTATTCATTGTATGGTCTGTTGATTTCTGGCTTGTCTTTACATTTATATACTGAATTTGCTTATTGCAAACAATTTGAGGCCTACTTTGGGGGCCAAGGTCGCCGTTATTATGTGCAACATTGTGCGACATTATCGACATTGGCAATTTTCAAAGAAAAGTAGTGTGCGACGCTGGGCGAAACTGGACAACATTGGGCGACATTAGGCGACATTGGACAAAACTGAGCAGCAATATCCAGATAATGTCAAATATTATAATTCACAAATTATGCATCTACATAAAAAATACAACAGTAAATATCAAAATATAATTTAGTTATCAAAAATTGGTTCCTGTGGCAAAGAACAGAATTAGTTTATTACAAATAGTTTGCAAAAATATGATTAAGGAACATTTCTCTAACTGCTAGCCCGACAATTTACTCAAAGTTTATGCCGTAGTACACATACATGCCCAGTGCATGGTACATTTACAGTATCATGGAACTCTGACTTCTTATTAAATTGACGTCTGGTGTAAACACCTCATAGAGTTTTAAAACCAGTTTATGGACTGTGGTATGCAGTGATGGAAGTGGGCAAGGTGCTAATAAATTTGCTCGCTTAAATTAACTTTAAACGTTAGTTGAGAGGCTTTCAACAGTTGCAAACTTTTTATTAGTATAGTTTTCTTGTAGTTACAGTATAAATTATAAAGTTAATATGTTCAAGTGTACTGTGTACGTACATTACTACATCGTGGTGTTTGGTATTGGGTTTTTTATTAGTAAGTAAATCACAAAATAACGATGAAAGTACCTTGTTTGATGTATTTCCAGCAAGAATCAGATATAAATTAATAAATAGAATCAAGAATTGAATTCACAAAAGTTTATATTCGTGTATTCGTTAATATAAAAATAAGTACGCGACGCGTACATGTATCTGCAAAAAAACTTGATTCACATTTTCATCACTTATTATAATAAATATAATAGCAAATAAGATTTTAAAGTCAAACATAGTACAAATCTAACAAGGCTGTAGACAGCACAGAGGGCAGCAGGGGCAACTCAACCCCCGCAAAAATTTAACTAATTTTATGTGATTATGATTATAACTCGGATAATTATGCAGTCCAAAAATAAAAATTTCATGCAAACAATATTCACAGTGTCTATTTAGTAAACTGTCACTTGTCAATCCATACCCATTTTGAAAACTTTATTTTAATCATATGAAGCAAAAGTTCTGTCACTTGTTGTTTACACTTGCCAACGTTAACTGTTGAGTAACCTACACAAATTATTCGAGGAACATGCATTAATACTGTAGCAAAGAGTCCATCATAATTTCGAAGACCACTGAATAGTAGAGAATATTTTAAAGGTCATGAATGAAGTATATAATTAAATTCCAATCCTGTGCACAGTTAATAATATACCACACTGTTCGGTTTAACGCAACATATCCACACAAAAACAATTTGTGTTGTGGGAGAATATCAGTTTGAGTAGAAGGTATCACAAGTTCAGTTTTGTACATATTGTGTGCCATTGATCTGACCATGCATCCATATAATATATGATTATTGTAGCTGTTAAGTTATTACAGTATCCATACCATTGATACTTATGAATTTAGGTAAGATTGCCTTGCAAGTGGGTTGTTCTGACAAAATTATCTAGCCAATATCCAGTACATTTATTCATCATTCTTGCATTAATCTCTAGACAAAAACATTTATGTCAGAAAGCAAAATAACAATGTAATATTAAAGGAGGGAGGGTGGGGATTCTTTTATTAGCATTTGAAAATGTTTGTAAAAATTTTGTTTAATTATAAACTCTATTAAATGTGTAAAACCAAAATGTATAAGTATTGTAAACTGATAACATCTTTAACCTCCAACACTACATTTGATGACAGCTTAGTTGGACTGTTGTTTTGAACAGAGTTTGCAACAGAAATACACGACCAGGACTTAATTCAATATCTCCCGACACCATTAGTTTCCTTTGGTATTGTTCATTAGCAATATTGCCTGCTATGTTTTGACTGTTTAAAATATTAGAGAAGTCACAGAAGGATTGTTTTTATACTGTATAAATCTTTTTGTGAACTATTGTTGACAAATGGCTTAAAATATCCTCGAAAATATCCAATATTTTATACAGTGTAATATATTAATAAAAATATTCCAGAGTGCATTTCATGTACACAGTCTCTACGCCGACGATACGGCAATATTAACTATAGATAGTATAGTAATTTGCCGAACTCATGTATTAAATATGTGGGATATATATTTGCACAAATTTGGTATTTAAATCTATAATATATGGTATTTGACTACTTACCAGATGAGGATAAGATTCCATGTTGATAAATAACTTCGGAATAATATCGCAAGTAGAGAAAACTCTTCAGCCAATTCAAGATAAATTGATAAATATATCAAGATATTTTTGAAAGAATAACACGATTTATACACGAGGCCTGACGAGGCTAAAGTATGCCCGTTCGCAGGTTAGATGCGGGCACGATGTAAACAATTGATGTAAACTGATCGCTGATTGGCTTAAATTGGCATAAATTGGCTGAATTATATAAGTCCGTCGCTGAATGGCTAGGGATACGGTACGGTACGTTTGCGATAGCAATATATCTGCTTCATACAAAAAAATAGGTACGCGACGCGTACATGTATCTGCGAAAAAACTTGATTCACATTTTGTATTTTCTTGAAAGAAGCTGAATAATGAAGATGACATGGGACATTTGAAATATTTCATCACTTATTATAATAGCAGATAAGATTTAAAACAGGGCTGTACACAGCAGGGAGGGCGGCAGGGCAAGTGCCCCCCTCACCCCCCCCCCCCAGAAAAAATTTAATACGCATATAATACGCAGAACGAAGGCATCTGGCTCTCCATGTCCCCTTGATCAGCTATCTATTATATGTTTTAAACGCTGTCCTTTCCTAAGAACATATTTAACTGACCTTATTCGTGCCGTGTGGCTATCTGGAACCATCCCTTCAGAATGGAAAAAAGCTTGCACAATACTAATCCATAAAAAAGGCGATACTAATACCCCGTCCAATTTCCGACCCATCACACTGGAGACCATACCATTAAAAGTATTCACTTCCTGCCTACGTAACGCTATGTATTCATTCCTAACCGTTAATAACTTTATAGAACATAATATTCAAAAAGGATTCACACCTAACATGTCTGGCACCTTAGAACATACTGCACAAATGGCCAATATAACCAATAAAGCCCGAATCAAACAACGCTCACTAGTCATCACCCTACTTGACCTCAAGAATGCTTTTGGTGAAGTTCATCATAATCTGATCACATCCGTACTTGATTATCACCATATCCCTGAACATGTTAAATTGATAATTAAAAGTCTATATACCGATTTTAAAACTTCAGTAATTACATCTGCATTCCGTACCCCCTTCATACCAGTTCGCCGTGGAGTATTGCAAGGTGATTGCCTGAGTCCTCTTCTCTTCAACATGTGTTTCAACACCTTTATACAACACATAAAAACAGATAAATATCGTCAATTCGGCTTTTCCTTACAGTTTCTAAATCCCATCCACTGGTTTCGGTTTGCTGATGATGCCGCCGTCATAAGTAGTCAAGAATCCGAAAATCAACATCTTCTAAACCGGTTCTCCATTTGGTGCCAATCAGGGCGCTTATATAGAGGGCGGTGAAACGCGCTGATGTCGTGCTGATCGATGTGTGATGCGGAAAAGGACTGGCACGAGCGTGCTTTTCGGCAAAAGTTGACAAGGAGCGTGATTTTTCCTGCTGTTGTATTTTTGCTGTTTTTTCATTAACTACGAAATTCTTGAGGATGTTTTTGCACTGTAACGACGAAGTAGTAACTAGTGTATCGTACGAATGCTTGTTTGGCCTATATAGTTGAATTTTGAAAGAAATATTGAGGATAATGAGTCGGGCTTTTGATGACTTCAATGAAGGGAAATTTTCAAAACAGCATTTGGGCATGTTATCAAGTCGTCCAAACTTCGAAATTCAGTTGATGGTAAAGATTATAATTATGTGCTTATCTCCAAAAGTTTTCATAAGACTCGGAGTTGAGCAATTGAATACACAGCGTTGGAAAGTGAGGTATTTTTGTGTGTTAAATTTTGCCTAATTAGCGGACCATTATTTCGCTGCAAAAAAATAAACAACAATTGTATTTTGGCCATGTCGTGATTTTTGGTTATTATGTTAATAATTTTGTACGACTTTTAAGGCATTCAATTGAAGTAATTCTGAGCCGTAAACATATTTTACTTCTTGGCCTTTGAATCAAAATACGACTCGCTCGAACGTTTGTTGAGCGCAATAGTCGAAAAAGTTTCGTCCCAACTTTGATTTTTTTTTGACCGGCTGGCCAAGACAACTTCTCGTAAGGATTCGTTAAAAAAATACAAATTCAAGTTGAGCATTTCTTGATTTTCAACTGAAAAGATCAACTAGTGGCTAAAATTAATTGTGAATTGTATTCTATCGAACGTGAACGATACGTGTACATACGAAGAGTTTTAAAACCTTTCACGTCATGCTTCTTGCGAAAGCAACCGTTCGTAAGCTTTCGCAAGCGTTTTGAGCAAAAACTCTAAAATATTGGCAGTATTACCTGAAAATACAATAGCAGAATCTACTAAATTATCGTATAACATCGTAATTTTACCCCCAATATCTATTTCTTCATCAAAACTTGACTACAAAACAGTCAAAACTTCCAGCTCAGTTTTCCCGCCATATTTATCCTTGCCATATAAGACAACGTCGCCATAGTAACCACAACAAACTCGTTACCAGTTCATTGCATCGCACATCGATCGGCGCGCCTATAGCCGTTTCACCACCTTCTATATAAGCGCCCTGGTGCCAATGGTCCAACATGATTATTCGGGTTGATAAATGTAGTACCTTTGGCATCAAAAATGCTCTAACAAAATCAATCCAATACCTGCCTAAACTACTTATTAACAAGCAACTAATTCCAAAGATCAATATCGGTGAGGCTTTTCAATACTTAGGAAGATACTTTAGTTTTAATATGTCAGACGAACACCACAAGTCTGAACTAATCTCACTCGTTGAAGAACTAATGGCAGATATTGATTCCAAACTATTACATCCAAAAAATAAAATCCTCCTCTACAGTCGATATCTTCTGTCAAAATTATCCTGGCATTTTACAGTTTCTAGCGTATCGAAAACGTGGGTCACCGAAAACATTGATTCCAAAGTCAACAGTTATATCCGTAAATGGCTTGATATACCTATATCTGGAACGCTAAGCACTGTTTTCCTAACCCGCAACAAGTTTGGCCTCAGTATTTGTCCCCCATCTGTCAAATTTATTCAATGTCAAACTGTTCTCCGTAAAGCCCTAAAAACATCCCCAAACGAAGCAATTAACGATCTTTGGAAAGCAACTAGCAACAGCAAAAATATTCAGTATGACGTTTATAACTCCACTAAGCAAGTTCTTAAGGACTTCCACTCTGGACAAGAGGATAAACTGCATACTCAATTAACCTGTCAAGGCTCTTTCTTCACTAATATAACAAAGTTCTCACTGTCCCAACTCACTAAAATTTGGTCTGCGTGCCAATCGAACCTTCCGAAAAATATATTCAACTTTACAGTTCGATACATCAATAACTCCCTTCCAACGCGCCAAAACCTTGCAAGATGGGGTTTATCACCGACTTCTGACTGTTCGCGATGTCTAGCTCCTGAAACACTTCTGCACATAGTAGCTGGTTGCCAATCGTATCTAGAACGTTTCACGTGGAGACATGACTCCGTTCTAAACTTTCTCGCAACAAGCCTGCAAACCGTAAGCGGCTCACATCTTTACGTGGATCTCCCAGGGTACAAAAGTCCATCAATCATCACTGGTGACACCTACCGTCCAGATTTGCTTCTTTCAACCTCAACCGGAACACTCTATATTGTTGAACTTACAGTTGGCTTCGAATCAAATCTTCAAAAAAACGTTGAGCGTAAAAAGTCAAAATATAAAGAATTAATTAGGGAACAAAATGAACATTTCAACTCAGTAAAATTTGTAAATCTTTCCATTAGTTCTCTTGGTGTTTTCAGTAAAGAATGTTGTACTTTCATAGAAATGCTTAATGATTTTGATTTTCAAAAGCAACATCAGAATTACTGTATTAGAAGAATGACGACAATTGCAATCCGAACAACGTATTATATATTTTGTTGTCGAAACAAGGAATGGATGAATCCGGAACTGTTAAGTGTTTAAGCGTTGTACTGTCATTTTGTTATCTTAATAGTATAATTTTTGCATATATAATCAGTGATTTAAGTAGCCAGTTGTAAATTATTTTAAATAAGTGAGATTTGCAATTGTATATATAAGCTAAATATCCATTTAATAAAGTTTTCATTATTATTATTATTATTATGATTATGATGATGATTATGATTATGATTATTATTATTATTATTATTATTATTATTATTATTATTATTATTATTATTAGCATGTACCATACTAATCCACAAGAAAGGCAACAATAATGACCCTTCAAATTTCCGCCCCATAACACTCGAATCCATACCTTTAAAAGTATTTACATCTTGTCTCCGAAACGCAGTATACTCCTTCCTCGCATCTAATAACTTCGTCGAACACAACATACAAAAAGGCTTCACCCCCAACCTATCTGGCACTCTAGAACATACTGCGCAAATGGCTGACATTATTAATAAAGCTCGGATCAGACAACGCTCTGTTGTCATCACCCTACTTGATCTTAAGAATGCCTTCGGCGAAATCCATCACAACCTCATTCAATCCGTACTTGACTACCACCATATCCCTGATCATATAAAATTTGTTATAAAAAGTTTATATACTGATTTCCAAACCTCGATAATTACCTCAGAATTCCGCACTCCTTTTATGACAGTTGGCCGTGGCGTATTGCAAGGAGATTGCCTCAGTCCTCTTCTTTTTAACATGTGCTTCAATACATTCATTCAGCATATCAAGGCTGAAAAGTACCGTCAATTTGGGTTTTCCTTCAAATTACTAAATCCCATCCATTGGTTCCAGTTTGCTGATGACGCGGCTGTAATTACTGGCCAAGAATCCGAAAACCAACATCTATTAAATCGATTTTCTATCTGGTGCCAATGGTCCGATATGATTATCCGAGTTGACAAATGCAAGACCTTTGGCATTAAAAAAGCGATCACAAAATCAGTTCAGTACTTGCCAAAACTCCTCATCAGCAATCAACTAATACCAAAAATCACCATTGGAGAATCATTTCAATATTTAGGACGTTACTTTGATTTCCACATGTCGAATGATAATCACAAAACTGAACTAACCACCCTACTGAATGAACTAATGTCTGATATTGACTCAAAGCCACTACACCCCAAAAATAAACTGCTCCTCTACAGTCGCTACGTCTTGTCCAAGTTAGCCTGGCACTTCACCGTCGCAACACTCTCTACAAAACATGGGTTACTGAAAATATCGACTCTATTGCCAACAAATATATCCGCAGATGGCTTGAAGTACCAATATCAGGAACACTAAGTACTGTCTTTCTAACAAATAACAAATTTGGCCTGAGTATTTATCCTCCATCTGTAAAATTTATCCAGTGTCAAACAGTCCTCCGAAAAGCTTTAAAATCTTCTCCTAATGAATCAACTAACGACCTGTGGAGAGCAACCAGTAACCATACTAATATCCAATATGACGCTTATAACTCTACTAAGGAAGTTCTTAAAGATTTCCGTTCTGGACACGAAAACAAACTCCTAAACCAATTAACCAGTCAAGGATCCTTTTTCTGCAGCGTCACGAAGTTCGCTTTACCTCAGCTTAGCAAGGTGTGGTCCGTCGCCCAATCAAAGCTCCCAAAAAACATTTACAACTTTACCATTCGTTACATTAACAACTCTCTTCCGACGCGCAAAAACCTAAACAGATGGGCAATATCTTCAAATGCAGACTGTTCTTTTTGTCTAAGCCCTGAAACATTACTACACATAGTAGCTGGATGTCAGTTTTATCTCGACCGATTTACGTGGAGACACAATTCAGTCCTGAACTTTCTTGCTCATCAGTTACAAACTGTTGACGGTTCTACTCTCTACGCTGATCTAAATGGATTCAAAAGCCCTTCAATACTTACTGGTGATACGTATCGCCCAGATTTGTTATTATCGTGCTCAAATGGTTCCTTATATGTGGTTGAACTCACCACTGGTTATGAGACAAACCTCAAAAACAATGTAAAACGGAAGAAGGATAAATATAGAGAATTATTGAGACAGCTAGGTAAAAATTTTAGCCAAGTTAAATTTATAAATCTCTCCATCAGCTCTTTAGGTATTTTTGCAGAAGAATGTTATACATTTTTAGACATGTTAGATAGTATTGGTCTTGACAAAAACCACCAAATGTACTGCGTTAGGAAAATGATGACTATTGCTATTAGAACTACATATTACATTTTCTGTTGCCGAAATAAGGAATGGGAAAATCCGGATTTACTAACAATTTGACTTATCTCATTGTTTATATATATATATATTGCATGCACTTTGTTCTGTTATTTTAGTTTAGTATAATTGTGATTCAAATAGCCAATCGTAAGTTACCTTTATGAGAGAGATTTACGATTGTATATGTATGTAAAGAAAAACATTTAATAAAGTTTCCATTATTATTATTATTATTATTATTATTATAAATACACATATCCAAAACACAAGCAGGAGTGCTTTATCAGGTATAAAACACGAATGCGCAAAAACGACCCATCTTATGAGTTCATTGGCGAAGTAATTTTAAAAATAAACACCGTCTATTAAAAGTCGAGAAAATCCAAGCTAAAGTTTGATGACATGATCTTTTATCACATAAGCAACTTTTAAATTGATCAGTGAACTTTTCCGTGCGAAAAACGCTGAACTGGACAGCAGCCTTAAAGCCCATTTTCCCATTTTTTTCGTTGACCAATCACATTGCCAAGATTTGTTTTTGGGTTAAAGTGTCAATACGACCACCTTCTGCTGCCCCCCCCCCCCACGTCACCCTCCACCACGCCACCCTGCACTTACTTACTTACCGATCGGGCGACTTCTGTAGTTGAAATATTGTTGGATTCAATTACGCATTCAACCCTCATGCATAATCTTGGTGCATGCGGAAACCCAGTTCGCCTATAACGTCATCGTATCTTCAAATAGTACAAATCTTGTTGACACAGACGTAAATCGGATAACACAAGCAGTTTAAACCAAGCCAGTTACGCATGAATACACGAAAACCTGGAAAAATTTGGGGATCTTGACTGAGGAACATTTCCTTTGCAATAAGATTGAGGAACAGTTTCAACGTTTTTATGCAGTCATACTTTAAGGTAGAATCGTAAGCTATCATACTTTAAGTTTTTTTTTTTAAAGTGTAATGTGCGCTCAGATTTCAATTGGTTTTACGAACAAGAGATGTAGTATCGGTGTAGCAGAAACACGTTTCCGTAGGCTAGTGTATTTTGACTTTATGTTGATTTTAAATACTGAATAGATCAATTAGTAATTTAAACATGATGACTCATTAAAATCACAGCTGGGTTGAAGTCTGTGTCTGAGATTACACCTCAACTGTCTGCAAGATAAT